CTGAGCATTTACAAGCTTTACAGTTCTCACATAGCTCCAAGGTCATAAGGCAAATGTTTACAAGGGCATTAAATCTTGGACGAGTTATCTTATCTGGGATATATGTTCCCCTTTTCTGATATGATATCGATATATATCGATTGTTGTGCATAACTTGACAAATGAGTCCATTTCCAAGCATCTAGCTTTTGAAAATTTAGTATATTTATAAAGAGGTATATTTACGATGAAGACAGGCTTTACTACAAAATCGATAAATATCGATATCTGAAAATGCAACTGTTTTGCGCTTATCTCGCCATCGAAGAGCCAAAAATACCAAATCTTAAAAGTGATTTCTTGTCAATCGAATGTTTACTTCACATGGCCAAAGACTGACGCCAGTTATCATTTATCGATTCTGTATATCGATTATATATAATCCCAGCTTTCGGATTTTTTGACTAAGCGCAAATCCGATAAAAAAAATTAACTTTGATAGAGTTTCATTGGAAATGCGTTCGTAAACGGGATAGATTGCATGGATGATGGGCTGCTATAAATTGGATCTGTATTGCTCTCATAGTTGTATAGATTTTTATTAGTGCATAGCTTAAGTTAATACAATATACTTAGTATGTATGGGTGTGTGTATGTGTGTGTCTGTGTGTGTGTGTGTGGGTGGGTGGGTGTTGGTTGATTGGTTGGGCAACATCAGCTGGCATTGCCTAATGCATCTAAATATGATTATGTATATGGATGTAGTCCCTAATCGGGCGCACAATATTGACGTATCTCGGGATAGCCGCAGGCGCGCAGGCAGCATTCGTGTATGGGCCCATTCTGCAGTGGCCTGTAGAAGGTGTCATCGGCAGCGAAACGCTTGCTGCGCTTGCCAAAGCTTTGGGCTGTATAAATGAAAGACAATATGAAATTAGCATGAAGCTAATATTTAAGCTGGGCTAAGGCACATTTTGTGCACTTACGATATAGCTGACCCAGCGAGACGGTGCGACCCTGACAGATGAAGTTGATGGTCTCGGCCAGATCCTTGCTGCAGCGATGCTTGATCTCCAGATCCTCGGGCGTGAACGCGATCGGTGTGCCGGCCACCAGAGACAGGCCGAATGCCAAACACACTACTGCGGCCAGCAGTGGCAGGAAGGTTGAGCTTGGCAGCGAGCAAATCATCTGCAATGCACGAAATCAAAATCAAATCGAATTAGTCGTTTTTTTCTCAGTTCGAATAACATCACTTAGAAATATATATATAATGTTAAATCGAAAAAGAAATTGTTAATTTATAGAACTAGAAGAGAGTTAAGAGATCAAATAAGAAGTTAAGAAGGCCATCAATGAATTGTCTCTAATACATTATTGGGTCTAATGCAATTATAACTATTATTGTTATTATTATTTATAATGCTCTTTATTGTCATTATAAATATTAAAGGTATTGCATAATATATATATTTTGATTAGTTTTATTTTTAGCTTCACTATTATTATTGTTTGTATTAGTATTATTTTATTACTCATCATCATTATTATTATCATTTTATAATATTTGGCTATTACTATTATTGTTATCCATATCGTTGTTTCTATTATTATTATTATCTTAATATTATTCGAATTATTGTTCTTGTTATTATTGTTATATTGCTAATGAGTAATGTCATTATTAATTAATTATAATTGTAAAAATACTTGTTATTTTTATTGACTAATTTTCTATCAATTATAATAATATTATATTATATTATAATATTATTATTATTATTGTTATTATTATTATTATCATTATCATTATCGTTTTATATATAATTTTTATTATTTTATTATTATTGTTATCATTATTAACTTTATTACTATCGTTTTATTTATTATTATTATCATATTACTATCATTCGTTTATCCATGATTATTATTCTTATTATTGCAAATGATTATAATTTGTATTCTTATCATTATCATTATTTCAATGGGTATTATTATTAGAAATCATATTTATCATTAATATTTTTAATTATTATTATCAATTTGTTATTATCATAATAAAAATGATTATTATTCTTAATTTTTATATTGTTATATTCATCATTAATAATTTTAGTAGCATTATTGTTATTTTCACTATAACTATAATGATTATTATTATTATTGACATAGTTAATATTATTATTATTTGTATTGTTATTATTTGACTGAGAAGAAGATGAAGAGGTTGCAATAAATTGCTGCAAATGTCATTGGCGTAAGAAGATGACCTCTCCGGCACCTTAAAAAACACAAATTCTTAATCAGGACGATGAGCTAAGTCCAATTAGCCATGTCTGCCTGTTCGTGTTTGGAAAGTATCGATCTGGGACCAGACTCTTGAAATTTCAAGTATATATAGTTCTCCTAAGCCCTGCGCAGAATGGATTTATCTGCATTGTTTTGAGACATCGAAAATTGTATGAACTACGTACACTAAACTTGGCAAAATGAATACAAATATTCAACAACAAGAAGCAAATCCTTGTGTTCGATTCAAGAAAGACATCTAGGGGGAGTAGAGTATCTGCCAGTCAGGATAGGGTAATAAACTATAAAAAGGACTCGCAATGGGAAAAGCTCACTAAGTCGTAACTGACTGAATGGAATAAATAGATTATAACATGATATAAGCAATACGTGTTTTGAATGTTCTTTTTTTACATACTTTGAGCCAAATAATATCCTTGCTGTTTTACAGGTCTTAGACCTTAGAATATCCATCTAAAAGTCCCAAACAGACTTCTAGACCTATCTTAACTAGACCTATCTTATCTAGATCTATCTATATCTTATCGAAATCGGAGTGTCTGATTGATGTCCATTCAAAGGCTTGTTGAATTGTAGCCCAAGTCCGAACATGAATACGAATACGAATACGAATAGTCATTGTGCCCTGCGTATCTCGACGAGACGGCGGCAACTCTGGGCCCGCAGTTCTTATCAATATCAAATATTATTGTGTTTTCCATATACCATTCCTTTCACAGATTCTGTTTTTGTTTGCGTCGCGCGGCCCAGGAAATATTTACATAAACTTCAATGTTTAAAAATAAACCCGAGCTTGTTGTGCTTATCATTTGGAACATATGAATTTATTTAAATCGAAAAGCAAACACAAATAATATAATAAAAAATTAAATAAATTAAAATACGTAAAAAAAAGTAAAAAGAATATTTAAAAAAAAAAAATCGTTTTTACTTTTTTTTTTTTATTGTTCTTTAAAACAATGCCCCATTCGAGGTGTCAGCACCCCAAAAAAAAAAGTACTCGAGCATAATCTCTACTATAAAAACAAGATCTTGAGACTATAGCATATATATATATATATATATATATATATATACAATATGAGCATGTGTCTTATGTACAATGTTGTTTTGCTCTATGCATACATAAATATATAGTATATTGTTCAGTCACAAGTGGCATCTGATGGGAACCAAAGTTTCGATTCGTAGTACCATGAGGGCAAGGTTGTGTTGAAAGTCAAAACTAGTTTAACAGATAAAGCAATTCGAAAACTGTTGAGTTTGCGGCTTTATCAATTTCCGAGTGGTAATCAGGCCCATTTTTCACTTTTCATTTTTCACTGTATCCTCAAACACCTCCTTTGTACAATATTGTATGCGCTTCTTACTGGTTTCCAATTGGCATTTCCAATTGGAGTCGCATTTATTTCTTGCTTCGGGCTCGTGTGCAATTCATGTAGCATACTTTTTGCAACAATTAACTCGTTATTTTGCGGTTGTTTGTTAAATATTCAATATTTCGTATTAGATAACATTATGAGAAGCGAATTCCAAGCGTTGAAGTGTTCGGAGTTCGGGGCTCGGTTCGTAAGCCTAGGTTTTGCACATTGTCCAAGGTTTTTGCAGCAATCAAAAGTGTTGGAAAATATTTAAAAAAAGTCTCTCTTTCATTCTTTTAAACCAATTTAAACGGTTGGAAAATATCTTCAAATCAATTCATTATTCGCATCACTGACAGTAATAAAAAAGTGTTGGAAAATATCTCAAATGTATTCTTGCTTTCAATCATTTATATCAACAAAAAGTGTTGGAAAATATCTCAAATGTATTCTTTCTTTGATTCTTCTATAACAATTGAAAGTGTTGGAAAATATCTCAAATGTATTCTTCCTTTGCTCGCCTTATAGCCATAACAAGTGTTGGATAATATCTGAAACATATTCTTCCCCTATAACAATCAAAAGTGTTGGAAAATTTTTCAAATGCATTCTTTCTTTATAACAATTTTAGGCAATGAAAAGTGTTGCAAAATATCTGAAACGAACCTCTTAAATAGCTGATGCCTGTACTTACTTATACTATTTTAAGTTGTTTAATGAAAAGTGTTGGAAAATATCTGAAACGTATTCTTCCTTTGCTTGCTGTATACCAAAATAAAAGTGTTGGAAAATTGTAGTTTTTCTAGCATTTTACATAAGAATAAGAAACAAACCTCTTCGATAGCTGATGCCTGTACTTACTTGTACTATTTCTAGTCTTTTGATGAAAAGTGTTGGAAAATATCTCAATTGTAGTTTTTCTAGCATTTTACATAAGAATAAGAAACAAACCATCGAAGAGCTGATGCCTGTACTTACTTGTACTATTTCTAGTTGTTTAATAATTCTACTTAATTATACTTACTTTGGCATGCTAAGCTTGGTTGATTGTTGTTTGAATCTCACTTCCGTTTGGGCTTTTCGGGCTGGGGGCGGGGTGTTGGGGGACGAAGCGCAACTGCTCCAAATTCAGCGGGGTTATCGTGTCCTTTTGTTTAAACGCGGTTCTTGATTTGCGCGCTTTTTGTTATTGTTTTTATTTTTTTGTTTTTTTTGCTTTTGCTTTTGTTATTTGTTTTCTGTTTTTAACTTATCACTTGCTTAAGGAACTTTCTTTTTGTTGTCGTTCTTTTGCAATCACACACAGTTTCGAAAATCACAATCAATTGCCACGGAAAAAAAAAATATTAAATAACATGTGTGTATAGATACGAAAAAAAAAAAAAAAAATTGTTACAATAATAATAATAATAACAGTTTGTGCAGGATACGTTTACGTGCACAAAAAAAAAAAATGCAAAAAAAAAAATTATAATAATAATTAAAAAATATAAAAATATAATAGAAAGTCGACAGTAATAATGCTAATATATTAATAAATGCAATTATTAATTATTGTGCTTAGCTAATTGGCATCGATGCAAAATGATCGATATTAAGAGAGTCTGGGCTAATTTGCGGGCGGTGTCTTTGGATTATGTTTTTTGAACAGTTTGATGGTAACGCGCGCTGCTTTGCGATTTTGTTGCATTTCGTTGTTGTTTAGTTTTATTGTTGTTGTTGTTGTCGCTGGTTCTGGTTCTGGTTCTGGTTCTGGTTCCGGTTCTTGTAGTTGGGGTCCTGAAAACCACCAATCGAGTACTGTTAAAAGCGGTCGAGCGCACGACCCAACGATGCGTTTGGCTTGGATTTGGAACGCGCTTTGATGAGCAGGCTCAGCGCGTTGATCAAACGACTCTTTGCCCAGACGTGCGCGGCTCTCTCGACTTCTCGCTCTCTTCCTCTCTCTCTCGCTTGTTTCGCTCTCACACACACACACACACACGCACGCAGCTGCAATTGCGCTCCTGCGCTGGCTGCTGTTGTTGTTGTTGGGGGCTTTCGCTGACTAAGCTTAACGCGTATTTCGTGCTGTTGCCCTTGCAGCCTTTTTTTCTGCTGCTTCTTCTTATTTTGCTTTTGTTGTTGTTTTAAGCCTGCTCGTCTGGCGTCTCAGCTCGGGATCGGTTCCCCGTCCACCCACGCCTGCGTCTGTGTATTGTGTGCTGTGTGTCTCGCTATCGGCAAATATCAAATAGACAATCAGCTGCTTCGTCAAGCTGCACGCTTATTACGAAATTGTAACCTCTCGCCACACACACACACACACTCATACGCACTTGCTCTCTGCAGCGCGCTCTCTCTCTCTCTCTCTCCTCTCTCCTGTTGTTTGGCCGCTCTCTGGCGCACTGTGTGTGCGACGAGCTTGCTGGCTGCGTTTGCCTGTTGATTTGTTTGCCAGTGTTTGTGGCTGACGCAGAGAATTGATGTGAATTGTATTTTTAGCGACCAGTGTGCTATAATTAGACGCAGACTCCCGACTCAGACTGTGGCTGTGACTGCGGCCTACGGACTGCGGCCTGCGGCCTGCTGTGCGTCTTGTTGTTATCTCATTTTATACGAAACACAACAGCACACACGCACGCACGCGCGCACACGCACACGAACAGACACGCACACACACATACACTTGCACTCAAGGCACTTGTAAGAATTGTTTGTTTGTTTGTTTGCTTGCTTTATTGAGTTGGTCTATCGCTTGTCCCCTGCTTGTTTCCTCCCTCGCTGTGGCTTCTCTTTCTATTTTGTTATTTTCTTCTTTTTTTTGATTACTGTTTGTTAATTTGACAACCCTGCCGCTTCCTGCGTGCCTTCGTCTAGTGATTCACACAAAATTCGATTGGTTTTTGATTGCGAATCGATTTCGGTTCCCTTTTTATAGTGTTGATCAATTCGTGTATTTCTTATTATTACTATTTTTTTTTTAATTTGCACAGTTACAGTTAAAGCTATTAGCAGCGGCAGCAGCTATTATTATTAGAATTTGTTGTTAAGGCATTCGTTGCTTATTGTTTCACAGCCAAATTGAAAAAGAATTCTTTGTGTGCTGCAAGCGCCTCACGAAGCCTCGCCTTGCCTCGCCACAGCAGCCGAGTAACCGTTGCTGAAATGATATTCATCAAGTATACATGCATGCACATTCATGCACATGCACACATGCATACGCATGTACTTATACATAATTCGCCTTACTCTGCCCCAACTGTGCTTTGCACTGTTTCCGCACATTGGTTTCAAGCCTGCGAAAGCAGTCTAAAACAAATAATAAGAAAAACGATTTTAAACAAATACAAAATTATGTTATACATTTCATATGACATATGTATGTAGATATTTGCAGGTAACTTCAAGAAAAAAGAAAATATCACAAATGTTTATAACATGTGTATAATACTTTTACTATTGTTCAATTACAACATACATATATCTGCCCTTATGCGTTTATTTATTGCGTTTAATTTTCTAATACTATTCTGTTTAAAGAAATGTACACGTGTCTGCCCCCCCCCCCCCCCCCCCCCCCCCCTTTAGACAGCTTTTGGCCACCCTCGAAAAGTATTGTCCATGACACATGGAAATCAACAGCGAGGGGTCACTGTTGCCACACACAGCATGAGTGTATGTGTGTGTGTGTGTGTGTGTGTGTGTGCTGTATTCAGCATTAATAACAATAACAATGACAATATTAATATTATTTGCTGTTGAACAAAGTACACACACACATGCACGCACGCACACACACACATACGCACACACACGCACACTTGGACATTGCAAGTGCATTTTGTGTGCGTTATCGGTTTGAGTACACGACGAACAACAATGCAAACAAAAAGAACAACTAGAGTGAATCCATCAGCGAGTGACAGTAGCATAAACAGCATCCATCTATCTCCCTCTCCTTCTCTCACGCTTGAGCCGCGACTGCGGCCTGTTTGGGGTCGGCTGGCAGCCAACATTTATTAACCTGTGCACTCTTATTGATATTGTTATTGTTGCTGTTGCTGTTCTGGGAATTCTAGTTGGCAAACCAGTTGAGCAAATGCCTTGCCGATGATCAGCTGATAAGTGCGGCAGCCAGAGCAGGAGGCAAGATGCCAGGCTGCGTTCGTACAGATGATGCTCAATTGGCACTGTTATCGTGCCATCGACTGCTTATGTATGTGCACACATACTAATATACATATGCATGTAAATATGTTATTTATGCCAAGCAATTGTGAAGAATTGCAAGTTTTCGTTTTTATGTACATACATACATACATACATACATATACATACGTATTTTTTTTTGTGGTTTTAATTGGCATGGGACAGGCAGATAAGGCTTATGAGCGAACTTTGCTATTGTTTATGACGATTGTTTTTTTTTTAAGTTTTTTTTTTTGTAACATTTAAGTGGGTTTTCCCCGCAATGTGGCAACTGCAGCACTAACAGAGAGAGAGCGAGAGAGAGAGAGAGAGAGCCTAGTTAAAGCTGGCTAATAACAGTGTAAAGTAGTTTTTTAGGTGCGTATTACTTGGGTCCTTGGCTTGTTGCGGAGCATCTATTACGCACATGAGCAATACATGTGTATGTGTGTGTGTGTGTGTGTGTGTGTGTGTGTGTGTGTGTGCGTGCGCGCGTGTAAGTGTGTGTGTGTGTCATATGTGAGTGCTGCTTTGATAACGGTAACGCGCTCTCTGATAAGGCATGTTGTTGATGTTTTGGTTGCTTCGCCTGCTGCTGCTGCTGCTGTTGTTGTTGTTGTTGCTGTTTGTTGCAGCCAGCCGTGAACGAAGAACGGAAACCCGCGACAACGACAACGACAACGGCAACGACAACGGCAACGACGACTGCAGCCTGTGGGCGTAACGCCAGTGAAAACGTAAACAACGCCAACGTGAATTCAACGTGATCTAGTTTCCATTAAAAATAACAACGCGCGCCCAATCGTAGACCCCCCCTATTTTTAGCACAATCTAACGGAGACACAAAGCTAGCGCCGCTGTGCAGTAGCGAGGCTGCGAGAGAGCGAGAGAGCAATAACGGGCCAGCTAAAGAGCAATATGCATGAGATTTTCAAGTCAGTTTTGTTTTTATTTTTTAATATATGTATGTATAGATTTTTTTTTTTTTTTTTTTGTTGGTTTTTGTTTTTGTTTTGATAAGCGGAGGGTTGGGTCTCGGGTCTGGAGCGTCGGGTTTTGGGACTGGCATTGTTGCTGCTGAGGCAGGGCGGGCGGGTTGGGGCGTGTTTTACTGGCGACAGCGTTGTGTACGCAACACGGTTCAAAGTCTAGACGATGAGCAAGACTCAGCGAATTGACAAGAGAGATTCGCATGGATACCGTTACATTCAAGGCGAATTCGATAATCGAACGAATCAGGCTTAGAAATCAATATGTTAAATCAAATTGTTGAATGTCAAAATAGCCATGCTGAAGAAGCATATGAACTAAAATACTGGGAATTTATATGTCAATAACTTTTAAAAACGTTGATGGTACTCCAAACCAACGATTGGGATCACAGGAGAGCGCATAGCTAAAAATAGTGGTTACATTTTTTAGTACACTAAAAAGTGCGTTTACAAGGTTGTAAACTTAAAACTGGTTAAATTTAAGCTTAAGCCCAATAGAATACTCAATAATGTAAAATACTGGGAATTGCGATCTAAAAATTGGAGTAGCGATCTAACACGCTGTAAATGCTGATCTAAAAATGAGAGATGTGACTGCATGTACTAAATACTCGCATAAACAAAGTGTCGAGTTTCTAAAAGGTTTACATGAATACTTACAATGTGATCTAAAATGCTGATCTAAAAGTAAGAATTTTTAAGTATATATGAAACCTTAGATTAAGTCTAGCTAGGCAAAAATTCAGAAAATGTATTCAATTTTACATCATATTTATGTGATCTAAAATGTTGGATATGATCTAAAATTGAGCATTTATAAAGGCTCACGCATCTAATCTCATTTAGCTCGCGTTCAGCTCACATATAAAGGGAAATTCTTATGTGATCTAAAATGTACTAAATGTTGATCTAAAAAAAATAAGGTAGGCCAAGAAAAATTGAAAAAAATAGCCTACGAAAGAGACCGATGCGATGAATGTCTTGTGGAGCTCCTATGACAAACTTGTGTTCCTTTCACCAGTGCCCGGCGAATGTAGGTGCACATGGGAGTTATCGAATCTCTGAGACAGGGACAGAGAAAGAGACAGAGACAGGGAGAGAGTGGGAGAGAGAGAGAGAGAGAGAGAGAGAGAGATGCGATAAGGCTTGTGGGCGGCTACCCCAGCTAGGGAGATAGACGGAATTGGA